TACCAGGCAACTACAGAAAACGATAAGGAAGACCTCTTTGGACCAATATGATGTGACTGCTGAATATATTGTTAAGTGAAAAAAAGCTAATGGCAAAAGAGTATCTTCAGGAATCAATGAGAGCTGGGAACAGTTCATGTTCTGGGGAGGAGGCTGTGCCAGCCATGGGACTTTGGGTGGGTGATTAGCTGCAGGTGCGCTTGCCTTGTGGCAGCAGAAAAAGGATGCACCAGTGATCAACCAGTCTCTTAATATGGAATATCTTAGAATATTTTTTTACAAAATTTTGATTTTGAGAACCATGTTAATTTTTCAAATACTCAAAAATATAAATACATTATTAGAGTATTAAAAAGTGGATCCCAGCAAAAGGGACCATAGCAAAGCTGAAATTTCCACCATTGATGATCCCCAGACACCCTTTGGGCCAGTCCCCAAAGTATCCTAGGAACTATCCCCAATCAAGCAGGACAGATACCTGTCCCCAACAAATATTTGTTAAAGACCTACTACGTGCCTTGGGGACACAGCTGTGACAACAGACCCAGAGCCCAAGTCTAGTCTAGTCTAACGGGGGATCCTGCACTTGGGTTAAAGAGGAATGATTTCATCTCGGCCCACAGGGCCCAGTAAGCCGCGAGGTAACCAGGAATTGCCTGTTGAGTATGGTACCTGCTGGAGGGAATCCCTTCGTTTTAGGAGAGTGAAAGAAACAGGAAATAATGACTTTCGTTAACCATGGAGAAGAAGAGGTTCAGGGCCGGGCACGGTGGCTCACGCCTGTAATCCCAGCACTTTGGGAGGTCAAGGCGGGCTGATCACGAGGTCAGGAGTTCGAGACCAGCCTGGCCAACATGGTGAAACCCCGTCTCTACTAAAAATACAAAAATTAGCCTGGCGTGGTGGCGGGCGTCTGTAATCCCAGCTACTTGGGAGGCTGAGGCAGGAGAATCGCTTGAAACTGAAAAGGCGGAGGTTGCAGTGAGCGGAGAGCATGCCACTGTACTCCAACCTTGGCAAAAGAGTGAAACTCCATCTCAAAAGAAAAATTAAAAACTCAATAAATATAGTGTACAAATTCCGTCTGATTGTGCAAGGTAACACACTGCATGGGAATCATTTAAAAGTCTGTCTTCTATGCAAGAATGCAAGTTCGGATAAGAGGGCTGTGACCTCTCATTTTCTCAGTATTCCCAGAGCTTGGGCAAAGCCGGCCCACGGTAGGCGCTTAAAACACTCTGTGGACCTGAGTGAAGCAAAGCGGATCAATCACACCCCCAGCATGACTGTCTCCATCTCACGTAAGAACAGAGGTGATCACGATGTCTCCATTCCTGAGTAATGGGGACACACACACACACACACACACACACACACACACCCCTCCCCGCACCACGCTGTTGGGGCTGCACGGAGTCCTGCCTAAGAAAGAGTCTCTGGACTCTGACTTTTCTGCTCTCGCCGCCCCTCCTAGTTTCCTGCCCGGCTCTCCTGGGCGCCAGCGCTTAGGCAGGTGGCCCGTCGCTCGCGCCTCTGTTGCCCTGTGAGGCAGCAGCCGCTAATGCGCCTCCAATTGACCCGGAATGGGCGAGATTCCAGGTACCAGTTCCACTCTCGGCGGGCGGGCGGCTTTCAATGCTCCTGGCGCTGAAGGAGGAGGAGGGTGGAGGGACGCCAGGCCCCTCCGAGAGGTGACTGAGAGAGGGCGAGACCCAAGCGAGCAAAGAAACTGAAATCTGAACGCGGGACACTGCAAATTCCCGCCGCGTGGCGCAGTGCTGCAGAAGGACGGCCTTGCTCCCTGCAAGGGTGGGGCGAGCGCGACAGGGACTCCTATCCCCAGGTTTGCGCCCAGAGCGCGCATCCTGAGCCGAAACGACCCTTTCCGTAACAAGGACTCGCTATGGTGGAGAGCCTGCTCTTGCAAAGCGGCGGGTAACTGCTCCGCAGACCTGGACTCCGGGCGAAGGGAGATGTTTCCACCACTCGAGAGGGGTTAGAAAGCATTTTCACGTACAAAAATCTCATCTGATCCTCGCAGCAAGCCAGGAAGGGCAAGGCTGGGGACGTAGGGCTAGGATTTGAAATCGAGGCTTCCGAAGCCAAGTCCCCCCTCAAGGTGTCCTTTCTTCTATGACTTAGGTAGAGCGCGACTGTCTGCCACGAAAATTCCACCAAGTGATAAGGCGCTGGAAGGTTTCTGGCGTTAGGTTTCTACCCCGGGTCACGCTACTTCCCGCCTCCAGCACTTGGAAGGCAAGAACCCAGTGAGCCGTCAGTATCCCCTGGAAGGACGAGGCGGAGCTCCTACCGCGGAAATATTCTAAATTCAGGGTCTCTTGTGGGTGTCCGGTGATGATTGTAAATACCCATAGACTAGGCACTCGCCTGCACCTCCAGGGAAAAAATACGATAATACTGTTTTTCTAGAAAGCCCTGGAATGAATGGCATGTCTTATGAGCATTAAAATCTTTGATTCATTGATGTTTCTTCTATATATGTATCCTGAGAAAATAATAGAAAATATTGATAAGGATGGAAATTAAAGCCACAAAATAAAGTCTTATTTACAGTGATGGAAAAAAGATATTATCTGAAAACACAAACACAGTCTATTATGGTCCATCCATAACATGAAATATTAGATTCCTATTTTAAATTATATTTGTTTAAAAAATTCTAAAGATGAACTGGGCATGCTTATGATGTAAATTTAAACATATACAAATAGATATACCCGATGAGCTCATATATGCAAAAATAAAGAGAAGAAGGTGCGCGAAAATGTTATCTCTGGGTGGATATTTACTTTTAACTTTTCTTCACTTTTTCCAAGGTGCACATGATTGACTTTTATCAGGAAAGAAAAATCCAAATGAACGTATGGGTCATCACAAGATTTTGAGATCTCTAAGAGCAAAGGATGTCTATTTCCAAAGGAAAGAAAGAAAGGGTTAATTATCTTGGTTTAGAGGGTAGTCTGGTCTTGCCATTTGGTGAACTATCTGGGCCACCTTTCTGATCTAGACTCCTCGCTGAACAAAAAGAAGAAGAAGAAGGAGAAGAAGAAGAAGAAGAAGAAAGAAGAAGAAGAAGAAGAAGAAGAAGAAGAAGAAGAAGAAGAAGCAGCAGCAGCAGCAGCAGCAGCAGCAGGAAACATTTGGGTATAGCTTTGATGTAAAGATTAAATGTTACTATGTACAAGAAATCATTACTTGGTAGCTGAATGATCAAATTTGCTGAAATTTTGCATAAATATTTGTGTGCAATTTAGCACCCATTAGTCTGGGGAGATGAGTTGGGTTTATCTGGATTTCAGGAGATAATCATATTCAAACAGCTGTTGTAACACTGAATTCACGTAAGTAGGTTTAAGAAGCATTTGAGGCCTGAGCGGTGGCTCACACCTGTAATCCCAGCACTTTGGGAGGCCGAGGTGGGCACACTGCTTGAGCCCAGGAGTTCAAGGCCAGCCTAAGCAACATGGTGAAACCCCGGCTCTGCAATAAATAAATAAATAGCCAGGCTTAGTGGCTGCATCTGTGGTCCCAGCTACTCAGGAGGCTGAGGTAGGAGGATCACTGAGTCTGGGTCGAGGCTGCAGCGAGCCATGATCTGGCCACTGCACTCCAGCCTGGGAGACAGAGAGAGACTCTGTCTCAAAAAAAAAAAAAAAAGAAAAAGGAAGGAAGGAGGGAGGGAGGGAGGAAGGGAGAGAGAGAGAGAGAGAAAGGAAGGAAAGAAAAAGAAAAAGAAACATTTGATCTGAAATCCCCAAAAGAGATCCCATTGTGATTAAAACAATTTTTAAACCCTCTTCGATTCTGTGCTGGAACTGCTGACACCAAATCCCGTTTCGCTGATCCAGGAGTAGTAACAGCAGGGGCTGGATCTGTTGGCGCTGTCTCCGTATTGGTAACCTTTGGGCCACACTGCCCCATTTACTCGGCGACCGCTGTAACCGAGGGACTTTTCTGGAGATCTAATGCGAGTCAAATCTTCCCAGCCCTTCGGCGGGCGCCGCATTTATACGCGCACACAAGCTGGCACGCTCCAGGCAATCCGCTTTAAGGAGGATAAAGCAGAAGAAGAAAACGAACGTGGGGACACCCAGGGCGACGGGAGCCCCCCACCCCACCCCACCTCGCCTCTGACCACTTTGCGCCGGCCGCAGCGATTGCCTTCCCGTCTCCCCCACCATTCGCGGAGCCCTTTAACAGGCCGAGGGCTCCAGACATGTAACCCCCACACCCATTCCTCGGTCCTGGGACTGAGACGCTGCTCCTAGGAAGTGGCGGGTCGGGACTCAGCAGACCCGGATTCAGTTCAAAGAGAGAGGTTTCCATCTCAATATAGGCCCTGGCGGGTCATGACTCACTTCAACTCTGCGGTCCGGCCTCTGCGCACGTAAGATCCCAGCGCGCACCTCAAATCCCGCGGGTCCCAGTTGTCTCTATCTTAGCTTTCCTCCGCCATAAGAATGCAGAGTTGAGCTAAGACCAGGCTGGATGGACCGGATCGGGTTGCACAGCAAGGACTCCACCCCCAATCCTCGCATGTCCACTAGGAGTGTCCCCGTGAACCCTAGGTTGACCTCGGAAGCTCCCGCTAGTACCGTATTGACGAAGATCCTAGCCGCGCAGCGCTGTCTCTCCGCGTTTTCTTTGCTTTGAGAACCATCAGTACGAACCAAACCTCCCAGGAAGGCGACTGGGGACTGGAGAGGATTAGACGGGCGCGCGAAGAAAGCGCTGGGGGAGGAAGGTGCAGGGTTAGCACGTGATTTCTGCGAGAACCAATGGGGGGCTACGGTCTCGTCACCCGGCCCTGGACCCGGGCCTGCCAGCATGACCCAGAGGAAGGTGCTGTGTGGGACGCTGGGCGTCTGTCCCAGAGTTTGGGTCTGTCTGCGGGGCCTGCAGCAACAAGACGGGAAGATCAGGGTGCCGCTCCTCACGGGGACCAGGCACTCCTCGGCCCCGCCCCATCCGCCTTCGGGATGCTGTTGAGCCCCGTCACCTCCACGCCCTTCTCGGTCAAGGACATCCTGCGACTGGAGCGCGAGCGGAGCTGCCCGGCGGCTTCGCCACATCCGGGGATGCGGAAGAGCCCGGAAAACTTTCAGTACTTGAGAATGGACCCAGAGCCGCGAGGGTCAGAGGTTCACAACGCTGGTGGCGGCGGCGGTGACAGAAGGCTGGACGGTTCGGAGCCTCCTGGGGGTGCCTGTGAGGCAGTCTTGGAGATGGACGCGGAACGGATGGCGGAGCCACGTGAGTAAGCGCTCAGGTCTTGCCTCCTGTGGGGGGAATGTGGGGGCGGTGGGGGCGTGATCCATGGGTGCATGGGGAAAATACGCCTCCTGTCTCCTGGGTTCGAGAGTCTGTCTTCATTTTTTCTCACTTCAGGAGTCCAAAAAAAGGCCTCTCGAACCCCATTCCCACCGTCTCCCGACACCCAGCGTGCTTCACACACCTCTAACGAAATTAAGCCCCTGAATCTTAAGGATTCACTTTTCCCAAATCCGCTCCTCTGATTCCCACAAACGCATGGCTCCCACTCGCAGCCACAGTGCCCAGAACCTCCATCTTCTCATCTCCACAGCGAAACCCTCTGCAGTGTCTTAGCGGTGCCAGTCACCACCACCCTTCCCTTCCATCACCTGGTGTCTTTCCACCCCCAAACCGTTTGCAAAAGAGTGTGGGCAATCAAAGCAGTGGA